TAAGTGATGCTTTTTTGCTGCAGCAGCTCGCGTCGTCAAGTTGCTAAAGAGAAATGATTAATTGTAGCATTTTTACAGCAACACCTGTTCGTTCATAAAAGTTTATGCATGCGGCTTTCAACAAAATATCATTTGTTTTTTCCTCTTTAGCTTCTATTCTTTCTATTGGAAAGAGGCGGTGCAAGAATACATTGCATGACAATTGACGATTGCAAATAATATTATGGAGCAATTGCACACTTATTGGCTCTTTCTGAGGTACATACAGGATACTCCATCTTTTATGTCGGTATGCAAACGCTGAATAAATTTCACATTTACCAACCGAGCGATTGTTGAGATAAGTTTTGGAAACGTCAATTCAGTACAATTTTTGCTTCACACCGAAACATCGCGCTGAAATAGTGAAACTTTACATCGGAAATAGTCGTTCCATTGTGTTAACTCAACCTGCATATCGGAAAAAATATTGCGGCAAAAATGCACCATCTGTCAGATTAATTTAGTTAAACACCCCGGACTTCTTTTTGTGGGGTTATCTGTAAAGCAAGGTTTACACAAACTAGCCTCAAACTATTGATGAGCTCAAGGCAAACATTCGTGCTGAAATCGACGCTTTAACACCCGATGTACTCGGAAAGGTATGGCAAAGGAGGCATTTTCTAATTGCTAATAAAGGTAGCCACTTGATTGAGGTTGTTTTCAAAAACTATTCCAAAACAAAAATTATAAGGAATCAAATTGATTAAAAATACATCACTTATAGAAATCGGTTGTTTTTTCTCAAAGTTATTCAATGTTTACATACAGACATAAATCATGGAGCACCCTCTATATACATATATATGAAGGTATATTATGAAATAACAATACAATTTATTGACCTTTCCGTTAATACGACAACATATGAAAATTTATGATACTCTTCGTCATGCATATAATTGGGTTTATATGTCAAATAATGTGTAAAAAACAGAAATTCGGTAAATTTTACCAGCATTTCCCCTCGATTAAAGTTTAACAAATTATGAGAAATAATTACTTTTCAAGATATCGAGAATTGTTCGGAGAACAGTTTTGTGCGATATGAACAAAATACGAGTACGTATTGTGAACCATGTATCGAATCTCAGATTGAACGAAACTCTAGAAAAGAAAAGATTTGAAAATACAAAAATGACTGATAATATTTATCATGCCGTGGAATTCCAAATCGTGAGGAATTTCTCTATAGCACCTAAAGTATTATTATCGCACTATCTCAATTTTTAGAAGCGAATCAGCCAACTTTTGCTTAGTGGACGAATATTCGAAATGCTGTGAAGCGAAGCGACTATTCGTATATTTAATTTTGAGTTAAAGGTATAAATATTCGAAATTTTCCAACACTCCTATTATATATATATATATATATATATATATAATTGGCGCCTTGTAACCGCTGAAGCGATTTTCTGCCGAGCTCCTTCTCCAGTTTGTAGTTTTGCGTCTTGATGTTTTACCAACAAATGGAGGGTCCTACAGTTTATACTAAGCCGCCTCCGAACGGCTGATGGTTTTTTATGAGGAGCTTTATTTCATGCCCGAAAAACATTCGGAGGGGTGGACCGCCATTAGAAAATTTAACATAATTTTTTATTTAAATTAATTTTCCAAAACTTTGGGATATTGGTCGCACGGGACTTGAACCCGAGCCTTCCGAGTACGTAATGCTAATCACTCGGTTACCGCTTTCTCCACACTCGTATTGTTTCCATATAATTTTGTATTCGGAAACGTAAGGTTTGGAAATAAACCATTTTTATTTGTTGTATAACAGAAATATTTAATTCATACATGCAAATCAAGCTTTTAGCATATACTTAACATAAAATAAATAGTTCTAGCCGCAAAAACAATTCTTCTAATTTTAAGTTTATCATTTTACTTTAAAATTTATATTTTCATTTAAATAAATTATGTATATGCTTTTTGTACCCGTCACTTTTTTTTATAAACATGTTTGTTATTATTACCAAATATTTCCCAAAGTTACAAATATTAATCAAAAGCATTTGGCAGCCACAACTTTACACTGTATTTCATATTATTATTACAGCATAGCTGATTACATCTACTCTTTATGTACACATACATGTGTACATTAACTTTTACTGGCATTTAAAAAAAATCGTACAAATTAAATGGCTGCTTAATTGAATTTGGTTCTACGGTTCATGTATGAATGTCGTGCTTGCGAGACATTAAGGTGAAGGTGTTGCCGTTGTCCACTTTTAACCGCCAGCCATCAGCCGACAGATGACAATCAAGAAACGCATTGGAGTAAGCTCTAAGAAATATTTTGATGACAAAGCAACTGCGACCATTTTTAAAGGCGCGCATGATGTGTAGTACGCATATGCATGTATCACTCATTACGTTGCAAGTGTCAAAAGAATGAGGATTTCTTTTAACTAAAGAACAAGCGAAAGCTAACAATATATGTACATACATGTATGTAAAAAATTGAATACGCACTAAAGGACAGCTTGCCAACGGGTTCTCCCTTTTCATTTATATACGAGTATACGCATGCATATACATACATATATACCTTCATACATAGGCATGTAAGTCAGTTCCGTTTAGGCGCTCGATTCTATACTGTTGTTATTGTTGTTATACGTTACGTGTCGTCGAGCTTGCTTTGTAAACAAGCTGTGTACTGTGCTACTGTCGCTGCTGTTTGTTGCTAAAAAAAAATATTGTTGTTGTTGTTATTATTGTAGTTATTGTTGTTGTCTGACTTTCCGCATTGCAGATATGTAGGCAACATGACACTGTAATTGGACAAGTGGTGGTGGGGCGCAACACGCGACCAGCGACCACACTGTCCTCCAGGCTGACCAAGCAGTCGTGGCTTGTAGAAAAGCATGAGTGCATTTGTATTGTTTTTGTTTTCGCTCTTGCAGATGTTACAAATTTTGCAATAAAGTGGTAAACATATGTATGTATGTATGTAGTTTTGGTAGGTAGACCTTTTTTCACTTTGCAAGGTAATAAATTCATATTCAAATTGCTAATTGAATAATATTTGTAGAAACTACGAGCATTAATGTTGGTAATGGTGGTCATTTCTGTTTAGCATTCGGTCTGATAAGCGTCTGTATAATCGTTACATGATAAATTCGACTTTAAACCTCAAAATACGAGTAATCCATACACATATATGTAACTATATTGCACATACCGCTATCAAAAAGCAGTTTTTAATTAATAAAGTCAGTCACAGTCGCTTTCAACATCCACTCCCTTAATGTATGTCTGTGCATGGCTCAATTTCATGGCTTAAATTTCATAGGCAATAAACAAGAAGAATTATAAACAGCCAGTGCTAAAATTAGAGCGCTTTGGTTACCCACTATCAAAAATACGTTTAAATTACTATTTATAAATTTATCTTTTTTATATAATAGTTGTCTAAAATGAAGGCTTTCGAATGTTCAATATAATAAAATATAAACGCTTTTTTAATAATTGTATAGAATTGTATTAATACACATGTATGTATGTATATGTATTTATACTTCATAGGACAATGAACAAAATTAAAAAAAAAACAACGGCAACAACAATAGAGATAATATGTACTGGTAATATCAAAAATGTCATGATATTGCGTGCGAGACAAGCAACCCTTCCAATGCAGTGTTTCCGCGTCAGGTTGACAAGCAAGGCAATGAATGATTGTACGAAAATGTACTTTTTTTAGTCAAAATATACACCTACATCTGCATGCTTTTAGTGTGTAGGTTTGTAATTGTAAAACCTGTATGAAAAAGCTCACGTTTGCACAACATAAACATGAACGATAATACATTTTTTTATTTGTTGAAGTTATTTTGGTTATGTTTTTAGGATATTACAGTATAATTCTCATTATTCATGTCTTCTGAGTTAAACTATGTGTAAGTAGGTACTAAATTTCATTGAATAACAAGAGATATCAGAATGATTACAGCCCGACAACAGTCAAAAGCGAATAAAATACACAGTTTAAGTGAAACAATTCTTTATATGTGAGTATATTAAATTGAGTCTATGCACATTAAGAAAACAACACACTTATGAGCAAATAAAATAAACACCGTCTCATATAAATTGTATGAATGCCACGGCTAATAATTATTAGAATGAATTAAACTCGAAAATGCGCCAATATTATTTTAATGAATTTCATATAACAGAATTTTTTTTCCAAACATCGACAAAATTTTCTCAAAATATATTCCTTAAAGTATTTCGACAACATCAATAGGAAACATTTGGAAATTTGCCTGATTGGCTTACTAGCTTGTTTAAAGACTGTATCGAAACGAATATGCCTTTCCCTCAATAAATCACTACCACTTAAAGTAGTAACGGGACAGTTCGCTTACTCTAAGCCACAATGATCCCCTTCTTCAAACTGAACTCCAAGACAGGTACTAAATTAAAAACTTCGGTAGCTCTTTTTTAGCGTTAATCATTATCGCTAATATGGCTAAACGCGTGCGCTTGCGCGGCCACCACCCAACGGTTACAGAAAACGTGGTGTTGTTGCGCACACACGCTTACGCAACTGTGTTGCTTCTTAACTCGGTTTATCTATCAATATGCCTACACTACTGACTAGCCAACAGCAAACTTGCGTCGCAAACAAATATACACATACATTAGCGGAAAGTTACTACTGGGAAAGCAGTAGAACGACGAGTCGCACCACGTGCCATCAAAGAACGACAGGGCCGTTTCAGCGCAGTCAAGGGTAGTTTAAGGGAAAATTGTGTCTCTTCAAATTGAATAAGTTGAAAATAAGTAATGTTAATTAACCTCAATGTAAATAATAAATTTTGTACAAATGTTATTAAGGAAATGAAATAAAAATATAAAAACTAAACCAAAACCAAATATATGTACATACATTAATATTATTGCACAAAAATTTAAATAATAAATAAAAAAACTTAAAAAGTTCTTACCCATTTCAGTTGAAATTCCGCCATATTGTGTTAAATCTGATCTTATCTTACCTGAAAAGAGTTATAAGTGAAAAAAATTTAAATACTATTTCTAGCTAACTGATTATTTATGCATAAATTAAAAGATGCAAGAAATAAGTAAGTAAGAACTGAAGTGAAGAGAATAAAATATTTGAAAATTATCCGGACTATTATGAAAACCGATTTCTATAGTAATCATGGATGCGAACAGATCCAAGTGCTCTATAATCCTTCTGCATTTAATGGCTCGATGGATGCAATCTGGACATAAACACAGGTAAATAACGATATATAATGGCAAGAGTAGGTTTATCGATGAGATAAATTAACTCTGCATGTTGTATATTGTACAATGTTGACGGGTAAGTGGAATTTGTTGACAAAAATTGACATTACAACGATCGCAAACTCAAACTCGCTATAATCACTTAAAGTTCGATGAACGCTAGCTGTCAAACTGTCGAATCAGAGTGAGCGGACAAGAGTGCGATCATGCCGCATTTACTCTAAACGCAGAAACTTACCCAATACTAGAGCTAAACAACGTAATGATTCCACAAGAAACTGAAGTTAAAATCTTGGCATCTACTCGTACACAGATAGACGGTTAAACTGGAAGAGCTAAAATACGGTAGCAGTAATTTGCTGTTGGGCAAAATTGCGCTCTTTGCCTCTTTGACATAACTCAGTCACAAAAACAATGTGGATTTATGGAGTACAATTAAAGGTACTTAAAGTGAGGCGGTTTCAATCAAAAATACCAATGTTAAAAACATAAGTGACAAATAACAGGAATACATATATACCGAACACGTTTTCGAAGAAGGGTCCCTTGAAGGCCAACGTCTTACTTATCGTCCATTACCGCTAATGAAAAAAAGCTGGTATTCACTAAAACTTAGAAATTTCCTTTAACAAAAAAAATAGTACTTAATTGAATGTTAAGATCTATTTCTGCTTGAAAAATTAAGACGATAAGGCGATATCGAACAAAATATTAAAATAAAAGAATTCAAAAACTTTTTATCTATATTATAATAAATCTGAGATATTTAGTGGTTTAATCTGCAAAAAAAGAAAAAGAATTTTGTTTTCCAAATTTCACTAGAAAACGCAGCCTCAAACCAAATACTCAATTTAGTTATTATTATATTTTCCCATTAACAAACAGTTATTGTTTCACAAAAGAAATATGCAAAATATCTGAAATTTGAATTTAGTCTTCATGAAAAAACAGCTTATATTCTATTGTAAAAACATTTCAGTTTTCTTAAAATTTCTTTTCAAAAATATTTCAATTATTCTCAAATAGAAAAGGAATATGCTTCAACTAGCTCTGGATATTTCCATAAAAATTAATAGATCAAAATTTATGTGCTTTTCTAAATAAGAACTTGGTAAAGTTCTAGTTGGGGTATGTTGAAAAAATCAGTTCGTTGGAATTATTTTCAATTGCCACCTGACATACCGTTACATAAACACGATGCCAGAAAGTAGGTATTTCCCGCCATTCACGTACATACATGTATAGACAGAGCGTAAAACAAACATACATACATAGTTATCATATTTTTGTCCACCAAATTTGTATGCTCTCACTTTTATGTTTACATCGTAAAAGTGCAAAATGTAAACAATGGAATTACCGCTACGAGTGCATTGCTCAGCACTTGAGGAGTTAAAAAATGCTATGTTCAAGGGGCTTTGAGGTGGTGGGGTAAACTGGGGCAATGTGTAGAGAGTTTAAAAATTTGATTTAATGGCTGTGATAGACCACGTGTGTATTTAAATATTCAGCGGCGTGTCTGGCGCCCAAATCACGGCGTCCGTTGGCTGCCATCTACCAGCTGCCGTATGTTCACCGAAGTGTTTGGGGAAATAGTGCAAAAGGGAGTACTTTAGTGCAATATTTCTGGCAATATTTGTATAAATATAGATTTTTTTTTGTGTATCATTAAATTTAAATAAAAGTAATCAGCTTTTTATGTTTATACACCATATTATTGAGTTTTGTTTGTTTGTTATGCTTGAGTATGTGTGATACGGCTAAAAAAAACATTATTTAGACTTTAAAGACCGATATTAAATATGAGATTTATGCTAATAATTTCAAAATCTTCGATAACAAAAAACATGCAGGTAAACCGGCGGCACCACTGAATAATAACACAATAAATAAATCATTATTAAAATCAAAATTTCACACAATGACCGCATACACACAGATATACAAATGTATGTACATATGTGTGTATGTTTGTGCATATTTAAACAAAATAAAGTGGTTATTGTTGCTGCAGCTTCGACATATGTACCTACCCGTTATTAATATCGCTATTTGTTTTTGTTTGACCACATATAATACACATATTTATTCATAAATACACACACACTTTAGAGAGCAGACTATTGTATAACTTTGGAAATTTCAAAATAATTCTCACTGAATGTATGTATGTATGTGTGTATGTATGTTTGAATGTAAATATGCGCCACAAATCATAGGTCTTAAAATCTAATATTTTCTAAAAATTTGGTGACAGTAACGATAATAAAGGGGTATTTAGCCAACTTTTGAATAAAATACACATACAATATAATATATTTTTCCCAAATGCAAAAATCTCATTTCAATTTGTCAGCATTTCCATATTTACATTGTTCTCATTAACACTATATCTAACAGATACTTGTTTACATTTGCCATGAGCAAAAGAAAAAAGGAAAGCGAAAAATACGAACATAAGCAATCAAAATTCTATTTTCTTCCACACTACTTGGCTAATATTTTTGTGTATGCTTGGAAAGCGCACTGGCGTCTATTAGGCAGTCAGTGAGATGTAGCCAGACATCGCCTGCATCTTGTAGATACACATGGTGTATTTGTTTGGGTCGGCAATTAAGATTTATATCAGCTAAATTTGATGAGCAATAAAACTCAAGCAGACGACGAACATCTGAGCTTTTCGAAAGCGGAGGAGAAGGAGGATTAAGAACACAATGAAAGAGAGGAATATAAATTAAAAACCACACTAGACACGAACAGCTGACTCCATCTGCCGCTCTGCCGCTGGAAGAAAGCAACAACGTAGTTAAGTCAGCAGCAGCAACAACACACCTTCACAAAATGTAAAACTAACATAGTAAATCTTTTAAATTATATTTGAACTTATACATTTTTTTACTCGCATTTTCCATTTTTTGTTTTTCACTCAAGCATCACTATCATGCATATTATGCGCATACATGGTTTATCTTGCACATAGTTGCGGTACTTAAAATTGTGCAATGCAAGGGGTGAAAAGTGGCATACCACAAGTGAGTGCAGTGGATCCCAAGCGCTCCGACATAAAAGATTTTTAATGTGAATTTTATTCATTTCAGACACGCGTATGATGGATTGCTATTTACACACTCTAACGTACCAGTATGGCATTCGAAGGTGTTAAAATATACGAATATAGACATGTATGTAACGGTCTCATGCTATTTAAAGGTCTGAGCTTTAGAATGAAGGAAAAATCAAATCAGCAGATATTAGTACATTAAAATCAACTTAGTGACTGAAGAACTAATGCATACTTATTAGGAGGCACACCGTTTGAAGAATATTGAGTAGACATTTGAAATACAAAATTTCACATGTTGGCGATATCAAACGCAACTCTTTTTCACAAAACTCCCTACTTAAGGAGAAGCCAACCGACGACTTTTAGCTTGAAGATGGCACACTTAATCAGCTACCACTACCAAAGTATTTAACTTTTTTGTAATCGTACCGCACACACATATGTATGTAAAGGGTGATTTTTTAGCTATTATCTTTTTGGCAACTTTAGCCCGTGTTGTCGCAAATACGCATATTTCGTGTTTTGTATCACTGTCAAACATCTTCAGTTTGGTGCTTGGTGCGGTTTTTGGGCTGGTGGCATCATTGGACCGTACTTCTTCAAAGATGATGCGAATCGTAGCGCAACTCTGAATGGTGAGCGCTACCGTGAGATGATATCAAGCTTTTCTTTTGCACAAAATGCAAGAACTTAATTTGCATGACGTGTGGTTTCAACAAGGCGGTACCAAATGCCTCACAGCAAGCTTAATAAGGGAATTTTTGAGAGGCCAGTTCAGTGAACATTTTATTTCACTTTCGGGACCAGTCAATTGGTCGTCTAGATCGTACCATTTAACGTTTTTAGACTATTTTTTGTGAAGCTATGTTAAATCTAATGTCTATACAGACAAGCCCGCTTCAATTGATGCATTGGAGGACAACATTATGGCATTTATTCGTGGGATACCGGCCGGATGGATCATTTGAGGCGTGGTCACGGTCGAAATTTGCATGAAATAATGTCTAAACTTTTAATTATGTGGACCGTACTATCGATTCAAATAAAGATTTCATGAATTTTTCTGCATTATATGTGTTTTTTTTTTTCAATTTTTGAAAGACTTTCCTACAGCTCTTAAAAACTCGCCCTTTATGATGTACGCATAATCATATATAAATATGCATTTATATACCCTTGGTGGAAACAATCAATGAGTTTCCATGATAAGCTTCCAAACATATTATATACTGTAGTGAAAGCCCTAATTAAATAAGAAAAAAGGGGACGTAGAAGAGTTAATATGAAACCGTTATGGTGTAAAATAATAGACTGTTCGCTTCCTCCTTCAATCACGGAATGGCGCAATTTAATATTCTAAATGCCATTGGAATTGTAATTATTTGAATGGTAAGCAACAGTTTTCTAAAAAAAATCGTAGTATATATTAAATCACGAAATGTCATGTATTTATTTTTAAAAGCTTATTGATTCAATAATTACAGCCAATTTTTTTAATTAAATCTCAAAGGAAACAGAAACAGAATTTAATTTTAACTGTTCTACACACATAAATAATATATTTTGAATGGTTGAACAATTTATCGCTACAATGAAACAAAAACTCATTGCCCTACCTAACGCATCTTCTCCTCCATTTTTCTCCTACTTTATTCATGAAAATTCGCAGGAGAAAAATTC